AGCAAAGCCCCCCATGGTTAGCCCCCTAACCAAGACCTGCCACCACACATCCCCCCTGCTAAATCTGCAACATCAAACCCCTGAAGACCATGGTCTCTGAGCCCTAAATAACGCCCAGCCATGGCTCTTTGGAATCTGGTGCTGGTGGCACCCAGGCAGAGCTGCCAGCACTGGGGGGTTCAGGACACAACACATCACCCAGGCAGAGCCCCCTCAGCACGAGATGGTGCCAGAGCTCCTGGCCGAGCACAGCACATGATCCACGTCAAGGTTAAAACCACAGCAGGGGTGAGGTCGGAGCCCTGGGTGTGTCCACAGGGACCTGTGGCTCCCAAAACCCTGATGCCACCAGCTGGACCCTGGCACAGCACCACGCTGCGTGCCCGGCGCCGGTGCCAGGTTTCGTGCTTGCAAGGCAGGATTGCGGCAGCAGCCCCGAGCACAGGCTTTTCCTGTCTTTCAAGTTCATGGTTCAGAGAGAAAGAAAGGAGAGGGGAAAAAAAAAAAAAAAAAAAAAAAAAAAGAGAGAAAGAGGTATTAAGAAACTCAATTTGCCAAGCAGCGTCGGTAAACAGGGACGGAGGCAGGAGCCACGCGGGGCTGAGGGCAGCCACTGCTGGCCCAAGGCTTGGGGACAGTGGGGCACAGCCCCTGCCACGCAGCCCCGGGGCGGCTGTCAGGCAACATTTCTGCTTAGGCAGCACAAAATCCTCACCAGAGGATTGCAAAAAGGGCCTTTCTCACCACTGGCCTCTCCAGACAGGCAGGGGGAGGCAACGGTGGTTAAGTAACCCCCTCCCCAGGTCACCCAACGAGCTGAGGGGCAGAGGCAGGCACTGAACAAAGCTCCCAGGCTCCAGGTGCTGTCCCCCAGGAGGGCACATTTCACCCCGATATGTGGCAGACGAGCAGATTTTGAGACTTGAACAACCCCCCCCAACTCGAAAAGAACCCCTGTGCTCAGCGGGACAGAGTAAGCAGGGAGGAATCTGAAGAGAAACCATGATTAATGCTCAGCCGCTGCCACGAGCAGCACTCCTCATATCTGAACCATTTCGCACACCCCAATTAATCCTTTGAGGCTGGTTATTAGCCCCATCGCCGGGCCAGGGAAGCCGAGTTCAAATAACCAGGAACTGAGGAACAGAGGCTGAATTCAGCTCTGGGGTGAGGACGTGCAGCCTCTGCTCCCATTAGCAGGCGTTGGGCCAGTTTGACACCACAGCCCGGTGTGTCCCCCACTGCCATCCCCATCCCCACCCAGTGCCTTTGCTGGGATTTGGCACAAAACAGGCAGGAAATACGTTTTAGCTGGTGGCCAAGCTGGCCTTCCTTGGTACTGTGCTCGTCCCAGGAGAGATGGGAATTGCCCCAGCGCCCTCCAGTCTGGCACTGCCAGTGCCCATGGCATGGGAGGAGCATCCCCAGTGTGGGTCAGTGGTGCTCAGAGCCAGGGAGGGCCAGACGTAGGGGCAGGACACAACCCTAAAGGGCTGTGGGCACACTGGGGGGAGTTTGCTGCCATCCCAGTGCCAGAGCTGGTAGGGGTGGAGCTGGCAGGGATGGAGCAGTCAGATCCATAAGGATATAGCCCAGCCAGGAGTTTTGGAGGAAACCCACGTGGGCGTTTGCGGGTCTGGTCCTGGAGAAGAGGAAGCCCAGCCCCAGGGTGTCTCCTCCAGCCCCACGGACAGATCCAGACATAACAGTCCCACCACGACACCACCCTGGCTGGGCATTGGGAATGAGCCACCACAGCCACCACTGCCCGTGGCACCCAGCTCTGCGTGGGCAGCCAGCCCCCTCCAGCCCTGCTGCCCCCAGCCCCAGGGCACCGGCTCTGACC